GTGGCGGCCACGCTGCCATCACGGCTGCCGCGAGCACGAACGCCATCGCTGGCCCACACGCTTCCGGCCCGCCTCCGAACGCGCCGCGCGGGCCGGCATCGTCCTTGAGACGTCGCGGTGCACCACCGAATGGTCCTTCGCAGCATGGCAACGGCCACGGCCACGGCGCTGCCTACGGTCGGGCGAACGCTGCGTCGCCTTCAGGGTACGCGCCCCCCGCGAACGGGAGTCCAGCCGGTGCAGCGGCGGAGGAAAGCGAGAACGGTGCGGGTTGGTACCAGCAGTCAACCTCTTTGGCCCCGATGTCGGCGCACGCAGCAGATTGGCCGTCGATGCCTCCGCCACCGCCGCCGGATCGTCTGCCAGTCTACCCGCCCTATCACGTCGGCCCGCCACCCGCGATCTCGCCACAGCCGCCGCCACCGACACAACCATCACCAGCAGCGTCACCAGCACACTCTCCTCCAAGCTTCCCGGCGCCATCGCCGTACGGCCAGAATGGCTACCATGAAGGCCATGTCGTCCATGGCGCGCTTCCTGGCTATGCACCGGGAGCTCCAGCGCCCCCTCGTGATGACACCGCTCCCGACGACTACCGGCCCAGTGATCCCGGAATCACGGCGAGCGTCCATGCCCCAGCCCAGCCCTCGCAAGCACCGCAGGGGCCATGCCCCCGCCCGTACCCAGGTAGGTGTCCTTTCAGCGAGCCCTCTGCAGCGATCCCGATGCCGAGCCATGACCCTCGGCAGGCTGGATGTGCGCTGGCGCTTCGAGTGAAGGTGGCTGCGATAGCATGTTCGACATCCGAGGCGTGGCAGATACCGCGGCGGCTCGACTCAAGACTAGCAGCAGCTACAAGCTCGTTCGTTTTGGACGATGCCAAGGGGCATCTGGATTGGGCGAGTGCCGTGCGCGGGTCGGGTCTCAGTACCCTTCTGAGCAGGCCCACGACCGAGCGCCGTCGTTCGAGGAACGGCCTCTCGCATCGGGACGTCCCGACCGTCCACCTGCCTTGCGATCGCGCTCAAAGCTCGAGAATTACCGAGCTGGTCGACCCTATCTGAGGTTTTCTGTTGGACGTCGAAGCGCACGCACGAGACACCGGAGAGGTAACACTCGGCGGCGATGGGTGACGATGGGTTCGCCTGCCGTCCTGGTCTTGGCCCGACGTTCTCCGTCGACATTTGCTCCCAGGCTGCCGAGCCCACTGGCCGCCAAAGCTCATTCTACAGAGCTGCACAGCACAAGCGGCCCTCGTCGATTCCGTGGCTCAGCACGCCTCTACAACAATGCAGGAAGCGCACGACGGTGCAGCAGCTGACGAATATTCTCCCTCGCCCTTTGTCCCAACCATCGCAGACTACCTGACACAAGCGCGATCTGCTTCCGGCGATCAAGGCTATGCGACGGGGCAGCCCGACCTGTCAGCACCGTCGCCAGCACCTGGGCCATGGGGTGAGGCGTCACGGCCGCCGATGACGTCCTACGGTGCGCCTGCCGGCCGCTATCCCGGCAGCGAAGACCCAGCCGGTGGACCTTTCCCATCCGGCAGCCAGTCGGCCGACTATGGACAGAACTGGGACGCGCGGTACCTGCCAGATGAGCGCACGGGCAGCGAGAAGCCGTGCAGGACGCTCTTTGTCCGCAACATCAGCGTGAGTCGACGGCGTCCACTGCTGCCGCGCCGCCCTTGCCCGACCAGGCGGATCGGGAGACCACGACGACATGCCTGTACGACGACCTGCAGGGCCAGGCTCACCCACCGCTGTCCCTCACCACCCCTTGCGATTGCGCAGTTCGGCACCAAGATCAAGGCCATGCGAGAGCGGTTCGAGCATTTTGGCGAGATCAAGACGTTCTTCGAGCTGATTGCGCGGCGAGGGATCGTGTTTGTCCACTACTTTGACATCCGCGCTGCCGCTGCGGCCAAGGAGCAGCTCCACGGCCAGTTCTTCGACGGACGCCCCGTCGATATCCACTATTCGCTGCCGCGCGAAGAGGACAAGGCGAAGCGCTGCGACCGCGACAAGAACCAAGGCACGCTCTTCACGCTGCTCAAGCAGACGCCGCAGCGCCTCTCGGACGACGACTTCCGCCAGGTGTTTGGACAGTACGGCGAGATAAGGAGTGTGCGGGCGTACAAGAACATGGCGAATGCACGCTTCGTCGAGTTCTTCGACAGCCGCGCCTGCCAGATGGCCAACGATACCCTCAACGGGCAAGTGTACAGGGGAGGCGAGTGGGATGTCAAGTTTGCCTGGGACCTTCCCAACGGCGACGAGATGCGACCTGCTCCGCCGTTGCCTGCTCCGGCGCATCGGGCGGGCATAGCTGCTGGCAGCGAGAGCGGCGGCCATTCCGCACACGTTATAGAAGGCGGCCAGCAGCAGCAATGGCCAGCATCGAGCACTGGCGGCGGCGGTGTCGGCGTCGGCCAAGCTCCTTTGCCCCCTTCCGGGCAGTACCCAGCTCCTTCTGCTGCGCCGGCAACCGCCTTCGGTGCGGCGGCACAGTCGCCGGGAGCATGGGGCACTCCGCCGCGCTCTTTGTCCGGCGCAAGTCAGGCCCACTTCCTGTCAGGCCCGCCGCCAACGCCGCCGACACCTTCTGCATTGCCATCTACCTTCCCGCATCCCCCGTCGGGCCCTCGCTCGCAGCAGCAGCCAACACCCCCGAGAAGCGCTTCTGTCCGGTCGGCCTCGTCGCCACCGCCTCCGACGCAGCCTCGAGCGTTTGGCGCACATTTTACGCACCAGACGATGCCGATGGCGACAAATGGCTACCAGCCCGATCATCGACCCCATGCGCCGCCCTTTGCGTCTGCGTCTGCCGCTGCAGCGTCGACACCGACCCCTTCATCAGCGAAGCCTGCGGCAGCCTCTGCCGCTCAATCGCCCTCTTCAGGGCAGTCGACGAACTACCACTACGGCCGCAATGGCAGCGCCAGCTTTGAGCCTGCGCAGCCTTCGACGTCGGTTCCCCTCTCGAGCTCCGCAGAGACGATCCGCTTGGAGCAGGCTCAAAAGGTGCAGCAGCTGCTGGCCTCGCTGGGTGGCGGCGCCAAGGTCGCTGCTGCGGCCGCACCGATGCCGCCGGCAAGCTCGCCAGCCGCGACTGCGGCTCCTCCACCTGTATCTGCGGCGCCTCAAGAGCCTGCGGTACCTGCAGGCTTGCCTGCCGGTCTTGCGGCCCTGCTTGCCCAGGCATCCGCCGCCAGCACGACGACGACAACCGCGACGCCTCCGGCAAGCCAGCCCGTCCCGCAGGCTCCGACTCCTGCTCCGGCTCAAGCTACGCCCCCTCCGCCGCAGGGACACGAGTCGATGCAAACACTCTTGAAGCTTCTCGTGAGTGGTCGTCGCCGTCGCTGATCCCGCGAGGGAAGGCATTGCGGAGCCGGCCTCTGTCCCGCGGCACTCGCTAAGCTGACCCTCCCCTCCGCTCGCTGGCCCTCGCCTCGTTTGCCAACAGTCGCAGGCGCGAGGACAGAAGCAGCAGTGACAGGAATGGCAGCAGCAGCAGTCATGGCGGCATGGCGATTTGCAATGCCCAGTCGCAGAACGGGGATGATTTCGCCCACATCGGCAGGGTGCCACAAGGATATTTATGTGCAATGCAGAGCGACGCCCCGCGACCTGTGGCAAATGATGACGGTGATGTCGAGTCAAAGACTGGGGCGCACCAGGTACAGATGGGCCGAGTCATGCGTGGTCGCGGCGGCGGCGGCGGCGGTGGGGCCGCGGTGGTGTCAGCCCCGAGGGACGCCGTCGCCACCGAAGGTGGGCCGCACCACGCAACGATCGCGCTGCCGTGGCCGAGCAGCGACGACGGTATAAAGGGTAGACTCTCGAGCACGCACCTTCGCCGCCCTCTCAGCCTGAAGAAGGTCTCTCCCCTCGCCAAGAGACACACACGCATACACTTTTCCACCGCCTCCCGCCCTCTTGGTCCGACTCACGCCAGGCCACGCCACTCCACGCCAGGCCACGCCATACGATGCCGCCCACTCGTCTCCTGCGCCAGGTCCTGGTACTCCTCCTGCTACTCATCAGCACGTCCTCACCTCGCGTCTCGGGGCACAGCGAGCGCTTCGAGCGCGTCCGCGTTGGCGTGCACGCGCACCATCGCCGATCGGGCGGGGTGGTAGGGGCGCTGGGCAAGGCGTGGGACGTGGCCGTCGGATGGGGGTGGGGCAAGACGACGATGCCGTCGCCCAAGTCGCACGACCAGCTGCCCCACCCTCGACCCGGTGGACCGCCGCTGCTCAAATCCATGCCCTACCCTTACTACACGGGTACCGTCCCGCGCTCTGAAAAGGATCTCGTCGACGGGGGCGGACTCGTACTCGCCTGGCTGTGCACGGAGCTCGACCTCGCCCAGCTCATGCGTCAGGACCAGCCCGCGGCTGCCGCTGCGGCTTCCACCGTGCCGGGACCGGGTGCGGGCGTCGCTAGCGATGCTGGCAGTGCTGGCACTGGCACTGGCACTGGCACTGGCACTGCTGCCACGCTCGGCAGCGGTACTGCCTTCACTGGCGCCGGGAGCCCCGGAAACATCGGCGGCGCAGCTGGCGGTGCTGGCTTCGTCGGCGGCGGCGGCATCCCTGGTGCTGGCCCCGGTGCTGGTGTCGCAGCAACGGGCTACGGCAGCACCAGCGCCCAGCAAGGCATCAACGCGGCACCCTACACCGCCTCGCCCAACCCCATCGTCTATGGCAACGCCAACGCCAACGCCAACATCAACAGCAATCCGATCAACACCGACGGCAACATGGCGCCCGGCCATCCCAACGACAACACGATCTCGGGTAGCCCCAACGGCGACCTCGCCTACCCTGTCGGAGGCGGCGGCGGGGCCGGCATCTCTCCCGGCTCCTACGGCCAGTACGGCGGAGCGTTTGGAGGCAGCGCGGGCGCAGGAGGGTATGTCGGTCAGGCCGGTGCAGGCGGATACGCTGGTCAAGCTGGATCTGGCCCTGGCACGGGTGCGGGCGCGACTGGGTTTGGAGTCGGAGCCGGCATCGGCATCGGCGGAGGAGCGGGAATGGGCGGCGGCGGATACGCTCAAGGCGTCACTGGTGGAATTATGCCGAGCGCAGTCGGTGGATATGGACAGGGCGGCGCCGCTGGTCCTGGCCAGGGCGGTGCTAGTGGATACAGACAGGGCGGCGCCGGAGCCGGTGCCGGTGTCGGTAGTGGTGTCGCAAGCTACGGAGGCGGCCAAGCGGGCGGGTACGGTGGCAGCGTTGGAGGCTACAGCGGCGGACCAGGAGGCTACGGAGCGGCGGCAGGACAGGGAAGCGGCGGCACCGGCGGCAGCAACCCGAGCGGCCTGACTAAGCGTCAAGCGGCGTTCGACCCATCCTCGCCCCCTTCCCGGATCAAGGTGTGCATCAACGGCGACGCCTCGGTCGACGCCATGGTGCTGGACGCATCGACCAACCTCAAGCTGCCCAGCCCGCTCGCCAGCGCCGCGACGACGGCGGCGAGGGCGGCATCGCGCGTCACGAACCGCATCGACCTGGCCAAGCCGTGGATGCCCTTCCTGCCCACCCTCGACATGTGGAACGCCCAGCAGGTGCTCATGCTCGATCAGGAGACCCGGATCGAAAAAATGGCCTTCATGCCCGGCGACGACAAGGCGTAGCGTGCGCCTCGTCGGACGGACACAGTGGGCAGAGAGTTGGTCACCGCATCATCGTGGATAGAGAAGGCGACATGCCGCCCTCTCTCTCACATCCCTCTGGCTGGCAGAACGGGTCGGATGCCCGTGGAGGAGAAGACGTCGTCGTCGTGATGCCGCTGCGATGCTGTGGGTATCTATACATGAGGGGGAATGAAATGGCGGGACCGGACGCCAGCCGTGAGGCAGCGACTTAGCCCTGAAACGGGGCCGCGTGTGTGAGAGAGAGAAAGAGAGAGGACGATGGATGGTGCGAGCTGGTGGCGGGACGATGCGCTGATGCCGGCGCACACCGCCCTTCGACCCTGTGCCGGTCCTGCCGACGCCGAGAAAGGCGGACACGATGCTGGCGCCTCAGAGGAAGGGAAAGCGCTCGCCTGTGGGCCTCTGACGAGAGCGCGCGTAGAGGGACAACTGAGCGTCACAGAGCGACTTGCATCGCGCTCGCCAGTCGAGCGCGTCCTCGAACTCATCCGTGAAGATGCCGAGGAGCGCGCGGAGGTCGGCCGAGGCCTGGTCACCCAGCTTGGAAAGAATCGGGGCGAAGCCGTTGTCGAGACCAATGACCTGCAGATTGTGGGCCCAAGTCGCCACGTTTACGTTGGCCGAGTAACTGAGGGCAGCGCCATGACCTCGAGGGGCCGCTTTGAGTTGGACAAAGAGCGAAATGTACTCGAAGTCGTCGACGAGGTGACCACCGGCGTTGACATTGGCGCCGCTGTCGGCGGCGACGCTCGGCCCTCGGTGGACGACGGCGGGCGGTACGATTGATGTCTGGCCTTGCGACACTGCGCTTCGACGGTTCTTGACCTGAACGACGATGTACGACATCTTGGAGACGTCGATGACCGTGTTGAGTCCATCCCAGTCCTCGTCGACGTAGATCGGGATAAGCAAGTCCCAGCTCGGCTGGTTGTCGGCGCCGCAGATGGCGACGTGCTCGACGAACCATTCGGCCAGCTGCTTTTTCGAAACCTTGTCGAACGTATGTGGCATCTTGACGAAGTGCGTAAACGAGATCCGTGCCGATTGCGCGAACGCCTTGAAGCTCGGCTCGGGTTGCTTCCCACGCGTGACGGGCCCTCCAGCTCCTCTCTGCATGCCATCGATCTGAAGCTGGGCAAGCTTGCCGCCGAAGAGCTCGACAAGCCAGTCCCAGGCGGGCAGGGGGTCCAGCGTCGCGCCGTCTCTCCACAGCTCCGTGGCTTCGAGTGCGTCCGGGTCTGTGCAATCCGGTCCCTGGACCTTCTTGACGGCGGCAAAGTCGGTCGCAACGACGAACAACGTCCGTGCGACCTCTTCGCCGTCGGCGCCTGCCGTGAGGCCGTAAAACGTCCGACCGATCCGCATCGCCCAGAGGGCGTCGCGCCAGACCTTGACGACATCGCCAGACTCGGGAATCTGCTGTCGGAACAGATCAGTCGCCGCAATGCTCAGGATCGGCTCAGAAGGAGTGCCAGTGATGATGAAGGACGTGTCGGGGTCGAGGCCAGCGATGGTGCGCAAGTGCGAGCTGATCTGCCGCTGGAGAAACTTGTTCAGGTCGACGCTGCCCTGAGCTCCGACGAAGGTCAGCGGCAGACGCTGGCATAGGGCAGCCATGTGCTTGTCGACGTCGATGTCGGAAGGCAGGAACGTTGCACTCTCCGAGTTGAGGTCAGGCAGCCACACCTCGTCCCCCTCCGAGAGCAGCTTGCCCTTGACCTTCCAGAGCGCTACACGTCCAACGTACGGGCCGATGCCCCTCTCGCCGGCATCGAAGTCAGAGTTGTACCTGAGGTGCTGGTTGTTGAGCAGGGGCCGACCCATCAAGCTAAGCTGTTCCAACAGCGCCGACCACGTCTTGCCTTGCGGGTCATGAGCGTTCGGATCGAGTGCGCCCAGGGCAACGTCGAAAGGCAACTTGTTCAGCATGGGCAGGAGCGAATATTTCTTGCGTTGCAGGCGGCTGGACTGGAGCTTGGCTCCGCCCCCGACAAGGTAGTGGATGCTCGAGTTCGTATCGAGCAGCAGGAGGACGAGACGATTGGCATTGGCCTGCGTGGACTCTCCCATCGCATGCCACAATCGCCGAATGTGGCCAAGCATGGGACCCAACGAGCTGGCTTCGTCAAGGGCCAGGATGAAGACGCCGTCGGGTCGTGGCTTCCCGATCGAGTAAGCATCGAGCACAGCGGCTTGCAGCGAACGGAATGCCTGCGTGCAGGCACTGCGTTCGAAGGTGTCGCTTCGCTTGTTGCCGCCCTCGACGAGATCATCGAGATTGTCGCGGAAACGGCAAGAGATGGCCTCGAGCAGCCCTCGTCGACGAGGTGCGCCGTCTGACAAGGCGCGACCACCAGTGCCCGTCGGGCTTGTGGGAGGCCCGACGTTGAGATGATCGTAGAAGTCCTCGACGTTGGACGCATCGTCTGCGGCAGCAGGGCTCACGTTGCTGCAGAAGGCCGCGATTTCTTCTGCCATGTAATGGGCGAAGGCTTCAAACCACGCAAGGGCGCTGACACGATTCAAGAACCGTGTGGTTGGCTTGTTCGACTCTGCCTGGTCGCGGACGAGCAAGTCGGCTGCAGCATCGTCGCGAGCCGGGAAAGCGTCTCTGTTGCCCCTTTCACGGAAGCACAGCAGCATGCCGAAGTGGTGGCGCCTCAGGACCTGATCGACGGTCCTCGACTTGCCCGAGCCCGAGGATTGGACGATGGGCACGATGCGCCCGTAGTGCTTCGACTCATTGTAGATCCTCAGGACGGTGGCGATGTGGTGACAGAGGTGTTTGTCGCCTTCGCCGTAGAAGGCGCCCTCAAAGTCGTGCTTGGCCGGGCCGGTGCCTTGAGGCGGACGCGGCGGCGAGGCGTCTGGAGGCAGGCAATGCAATCGGATTCGATTCGTCAGGCGCGACGAACACGACGGAGACACAGCCATTGCCGATGTCGGCCCACTCACAAGAAGGTCCGACGACGATGGCTCGGTACAGCAGCTGCACAGTGTGGCGCAATGGGTCCTTGTCAAAGTCCGGGTTGAGCTCGGATTTGATGAAGTCGACCAGACGCTCCGGGTCGGCGCGCAGGCGGTTCAGTCCTTGAGACTGAAGGGCACCTCTGAGCCACTCGGGGAGGTGGCCGCGCAGTCCTGTTTTGGAGCATGCACGTACCCAAGAGTCGAAGCTTGTGCGAACGACTTTTTCGGCCAGCTGTCGGTACTCGAGCTTGAGCCTCGACATCGACAATAAGTTTCCGAGTTCGTCCTGGAGGTCCTCGGTTGCTGGCCTCAAGTGTTGGGCCGCAAAGTCGCGCAACTCTTGCGTCTGTTGATCGCTGTCGGAAGGTGTTGCCAAGAGCGGGCCGTCGGATGTGCCGTCCCACTCGTCGCGGAGAGTGAGGGATCCCAGGGATGTCATGGACGGGGACGAGGGCTGTGAGGCCATAGACATCTGGAGACGACGAGTTGCAAACTGCTTTGGACGTCGTGTCGGTTGCTCGCGCTTACGAGCGGCTGTCGGGACCGACTCATCGCGATCGTCGACTGGAGCAGGACCGTGCTCCAGAAAGAGCATGGGAGGACCCAAAGGATCCGCGGTCGGGCTCGACATGTCCACCAACGGGCGAAAAAGGACAGCGGGGGCGCGCTTGGAACGTGATGAACGCGGTGGCACTACTAGCTGCAATCGGTTCGGTTGGGGTGTTGTCAAAGGGGTGGTGACGATGCGCCTGCCACCGCGATCTAGGCCGGCCTGGAGCAGTCGCTTGTCGATGAGCAGTCGAGCGGCCTGCTAGCAGCGCGGGAGGGCGGGAAGGATGGAGTCGAGTGGCCTGATGGTTGGTGGTCGGGACGACGAGTGCGACCACCCTGCCTGTCTCGTCTGAAAATGGTGGTGTCAACGCTGCAAAGCCAAATCCGCACATTATTGGGCAGACCGGGGGGGCCAAAAAATTAGTCAGCACTGTGCTCCCGGGCCCGGAGCCGACGGCGAGTGCCGCTCCCTCAAATCGTCCCAGGAAAAGGATCGCCGACACGCCCTGACCGGAATGACGTGGTGAAGAAGATTGAATGCTGGAGAGGCAGGTGCGAATCAGTTGTCACCAAACAAAACCACATAGCCACCTATTCCTAGGGAATTTCCGAGGGAATTTCCGAGGGAATTTCCAAGGGAATTTCCAATGAAAACAGGAGGAAAAAAGTAGGTGCTCCAGCCAAGAGTCGAACTTGGGTCCCCGCTGAATTGGATTGGACTGATCCAGTACTATCACGTTGTGAAAGCGATGTTCTAACCGTTATACTACTGGAGCCCTTGTTGCATTGTCGCTCTATTTAGCTATACTCTTTCAAATTTCGCACTAAAAACGGTCAGGGTTATCGGAAAGGCAGGTACGAGACTGGTTCGAGGGTTGGCGACCCAGCGATGGTCTGGACCGAACCACAGATGCACTGGGTCAAGCTTTGGTCGTTGGCAGCGAGTACAGAGTCTTGGACTGCAGGAACGAGGTGATTGACTCTGGTTGTTGGGTGCACCATGCACGACTTTGCGCTGTGATAAAGGTGAGATACCGGCTCTGCAATATCGTAGGGCTGATGACGGGATGCTTCGAGGCCTGATCGAGGATCTTGCTGCAAGCTTGCTACAAGGTGGGAATGATCCTGGCAAATGGGCAGGGGAATCATGGCAAGCTATACTTCGAGTGCAGGCACCCGATCTCTGCCCACAGAGACAAGGGCAGCTTTGTGCCAGGTCGGAAGATGGCCTCGGAACCCACGACGGCTCTCAACATGCACCGACGGATCCACAAGAGTCGAGGCTCTCGCACACGACATCTTCGGCCACGCTGCGATACTCGATGCAGAGCTTCGAGATCGACACGAGATTGCGAAGCTCGGTCTGAAGATCCAACGTTGCTGCGCCCAAGTGTCAGGTGGCAAAGCGCGGTAGCTCTTCCGCTTGTTTATTAGTGTCCCCATGTCAAGAGCAATAGGCGGTGACGTGGTGACTGGCAGGGAGGTGTGGAGGGAAAGCGTGGGAGAGGTGACTGCAGGCGGACCAAGGACCGTGACGAAGAGATAGCAGGGAGAGATGAGAGTGGAATGAAGAGAGGATGGGATGGGGACGAAGCGGGCTAGCGCGGGCTAGCCGACCCCGCCGCCGGCGCTGCCTCCGGTGCCGCCGCCGCCGCCGCCACCGCTGACGTTCCACGTCGACGGGGGCTGCCAGAAGGCACCGGAGAAGCCCTGCGGCTCAAACGAGGTGAGGCAGTCCCACAGGCGATCGATCGACTCGGGGTCGTCGACGGCGGCGGCGGAGGTGCCGGCGCCCGAGGCGGCAAACGAGCCGCCGGCTGCCGCAGCGGCCGTGGCGATGGTCATGGCAACCGGATCGGCGGGGTCGGCGCTGGGGCCGAGGGCCGATAGAGCGGCCGTGGCGGCGGGATCGGCACTGGGCTGGACGGCGGCATCGCGGCCGGCGGTCCAGGCATCGAGCGGCAGGTCGCTCGAGAGCTTCGACGACGAGGCCGAATCGAGCAGCGCGAGGTTGCCGTCGAGGCTAGCGTCGAGGGTGCCGAGGTCGGGCACGAGGACATCGCCCGGAGCGGCGGAGGCGGCGGTGGCGGCGGCGGCAGGGGAAGCCTCCGACTTGCGAGCCTGGGGTGCGACGGCATCGCTGGTCTTGACTCCGACGGCGGTGGGGGCGGCGGCGCTCTTGTCGTCTGCGACGGCGGCGCTGGCGGCGATGCCCTGCTGCGAGCCGCTGTCGCCTGGAGCGAGGCTGCTGCTGGTGAGCGACGTGGCGTTTTCCGAGTCTTTGTCGGGCGGCGTTTGGCCCCGGGCGCGCTGGGCGTCGCCGGTCCGGGACGGCCCCGGGTCAGGCTCAAAGATGGCGAGGACCGACTTGAGGTAGCGGCCGTAGGGCGTGGCGGAGCCGTTGCGGTGGCGGGGCGTCTTGCCGGCCTTTGTCATGGCGGCGCTGAGGCGGCGGACGAGGGCGACGGCCGTCTCCTTGTCGGCAAAGGGATACTGGGCGGCCAGGTTGGTGAGGCGGAGCGCCGAGACGGCAGCGTAGACGGCCATCACGACGCGGTCGTTGGACCATGCGACGAGGCTGTCGTCGTCAAAGTCGTTGAGCACCGTGTCGATGAGCGAGATGGCCGACGTCCAGCACTCGACCGAGGCCGACGACGAGCCGGGGACGAGGCCCTCGTGCTGCTCGGTGGTGCCGAGGACGAGCGAGTTGATGATGAGGCGCGAGTGGTAGTAGAAGAGCTTGGCCGTCGGCGCCCACCGCACCAGGTACTTGCCCGCCGCCGTGCTCGTGTCGACGGCGCGGATCTTTTCCTCGGTGTTGATGCACCACGACTGCTTCCACTTCTCCAGGTCGGCGTTGGCGTGCTTGCGGAAGAACTCGAGGCCGGCCAGGCGGCGCTCGAGGTGGCTCTGCTCGCCCGCGTTGAGCGCCGCCGCCGTGGCCGCCGTCGTCTGGGCCGCGTCGAGCTGGTCCTGGCTGCCGAGGTAGTTGTCGAATGCCTCCGAGTGCTGGGCGGCGATGCGGCGCAGCCGGATCAGGCTCACCAGCGACACGTCCTCGGGCAGCGCAAAGTCCTGCTTGTGCCACATCGACGACTGCACAATCATGCGGTCCTCGGAGATGGTCCACGGCCGGCCCGTCTGCGCGCTCAGCGTGCGGTCGTAGAGGAACAGGTTGAACCACAGCCGCTCGCGGTTGCGCAGCCGCCGGCTCACCTGCTCGTTGCCCAGCAGGCTCTCGCTCGGCGTCACCTTGCGGTTGACGCCCACCTCGGTCGCCGTGCGGATCGCAAAGCCGAGGTACTGCCAGCTCCGGTCGTCGACCAGCCGGCTCGTCGGGCGGCTGTACGTCGTCAGGATCAGGAACGCCTGGCTGATCTCGACGCTCTTGTACCCGCCCAGCAGAATCGTCGGCAGCAGCTTGTTCTGCCAGTGCCGGTCCAGCAGGCTCGCAATCTTGGCGTCCCGCACCGTGTCGCTGAACCGCGCCGCCATGCACGCAATGACCGTCGTCAGGAAGGCGGAGCGCATGCGCACAAACGACACGCTGTGCAGGAACGGGTCAAAGAGGTCCAGGATCGGGTTGATGCGAGCAAAGAAGCTGCGGCGACGCAACGCGGAGCGGAGCGGAGCGTGGTGAGCAGCGGCATCCATACACGCCGAAGTTGGGGATCAGCGGTCGGTGTCGGAAAACAGCAGCGCGGACCGCGCACTCACAGATCAAACAGCCTCTCGACCTCCTTGAGCTCGACGAGGCCCAGCTCGACCGGGTCGAGCCCCTCGTCGTCGTCGTTTTTGCTATGAAACAGGCTGAGGTTGAAGTAGCCCTTGCGCGACGCGCCGGCCTCGCCCTCGCCGCCGCTGCCGGACCCAACGCCGTCCGGGCGACGATCGTCGGGCGCGGCGGCGATGCTGACCTGCTTGTCCCTGCCGCGCGGCTCGACGGTCGGGTCTTCGTCGTGGCTCGCATCCGGGTCGCCCTCGCCGTCCGAGTCGCGATCGTTGAGACGTCTCCGGCGGCTGCCTCCGCGTGCGAGGCGCGACCGGGCGCGCTTGCGCTTGCCGGTCAGCGTCGCCCGGGCGTCGTCCGAGGCCGCACCGTCGCCGGCGCCCGTGCTCGGCAGCGGCGAGTCGCCCTGGCGCGCGTGGACCGACGCCGGAAAGCCGGCGCTCGTGGCGCTGCTGACCGTCTGGCCGCCGTGGCTCAGCGTGCCTGGGCTGGCCGCGGCGCCCGAGCTGGGAGCATAGCCTCGCCTCGTCTGCGCCTTACCCTCGCGGTACTCCCAGGCGTCGTGGTCGAGCGTCGATGGGATGGTGGCGCCGCCGGCGGCGGCCCCCTCGCGCGCCGGCGATGCGTTGCTCTCCTGCTGCATCGGCCGCGCTTCGGCATCATCGTGCGCCGCGGGTCCGGACGCCTCCGACGACGCCTGCAGCGATTCGGCCGAAGGGTACGACTTGGACCGCGACAGGCTGCCGAGGAACGTCGGCAGGCGCGAGCCGCCGCGCTCCGGGTGGAACGTGTCGCGCAGGCTACTGCTGCTCCCCCGGTCCTGGTGAAACAGCGGCGGGAGGATGCGCGAAGAAGACCAGCCCTGCGGCGGCATCATGTCGCCCCGGCCGTACATGGGCCTGCCGAGGCCGGTGAGGTTGACTGCGGCGCTCATGGCCATGCGACTGGCCGTCGAGGCGCCGCCCAGCAGGCCCATGGTCTCGGCCGCCGCCAGCGAGTGGCGGCCGCCAGACTCGAGCCGTCCGCCCTCGATGCGCGCGGCGGCGGCGTCCGACGCCTGCGCCAGCAGCTTGAGCGGGTTCGAAAGCACATTGTCGTGCTCCTCACGCGTCGCATCGGCGTCGTCCTCGAGCTCGTCCTGCTCGTCGTCGAGCTCGATGTCGGCGTCGTCGGCATAGCTCGCCGGCGCCGCGCTGCGACGGTCGTCGCGCCGCCGGCCGGATGGCGCTCCGTGAGAGCCCTGGCGTTCGCCGCGGTGGTCGTCGCTGAGAGCATTCGTATAACTTCGTATAATGTATGCTAAACGAAGTTATGC